AATTTGATTTTACTACACAAGAGTTTGTCATGATTATGAACATTGTTACATTGCCAAGAGTAGATTCTTTATATCCTTTCATTATAATATTTTTAACTGAGCGATGAGAAATAAAAGAAACCTTATCAACATACACACACATGCAAGCTCACCATGTTTACTAGGATTTTTTTGTTTTTGTTTCTAAACTTGATATCATATTCATATATCTTTACCATTGTGTTATTTGCTTTGTAGAATTCTGTCCCTCAGAAGGGAAATGAAGTTAATTTGACCCTAGGTGGCATTGACCTCAACAATTCAGGCAGGTTGGCTTGTTTTCCACATCTACACATTATAATCCTTCTGTTTAATGTTTATCTTTGTGTTGTCAAGATAGCAATATTGTAAAATTTCGTGACCTCCTGTAACTTTTCTTGTTAAATTTTGTAGTGTTGTTGTCAAAGCAGATAAGAAACTTTTGACTGTACAATTTCCTGATGTTCATGATGGACGAGCTTTCACACTTAAGGTGCTATATTTCCTTTTTCATAATTTTTCTCTCTGGGGATGAGTTTTTCATTAAAAAGATATTTGCTTATATGATGCTCTGATTGTGTGTGTGTGTGTAATTTTTTTTTTAATTTAATGTTCTCTATATTCATCATATATATTATCATTGATTCAACACACATGGAGATAAACATAGACAAAGAATGTAGAATGCACAGGTTTTTATCAGCTGCTAACATATAATTTCATTGTTGATGTTGTAGGCTGAAACTATGGAGGATTTATATGAGTGGAAGGCTGCACTTGAGAATGCTTTGGCACTGGCACCTAGTGCTGTCAATGGGACGGAGCAAAATGGTATCTCCAGGAACAATCAGACTGATTCAATTGATATTTCTTTGGACCAGTGTATGCTCTTGTTATAATTGTGCTTTACATATGCATTTGACCACACAGTTCATACTCTGTACCCTGTGGTTCATACACTATATACAATGGTATAATAAACAATTTAATTGTCATCATGTAAATATCTATGACAACAACTATTGTGAAGTTTGTTGCATTTCAGATTTGATCTCTGATATGAACGTTAGATATCCATTTCTATAGTGACAGTGGTAATGGTATGAAATTTATATTGTCCAATTGATAGTCTCTTCTGTACATTTGGATTGCTTTTGTAATAATATGTTACACTTTTTTTTTCCCTAATTAAAATTTATGATATCTGTGGAGTGCCTCAGTTGTGAATACTTGTGGTTAATGCAGTAAAAGACTATAACTTTTGATTTCCTTTTATCTGGTTTTCCTGCACTTCTATAGTGAAGGAGAGAGAACCAGTTAAATCTACCGTTATTGGCCGGCCAATTTTACTTGCTTTGGAGGATGTTGACGGAACTCCATCATTTTTGGAGAAAGCCCTAACATTCATAGAAGAGCATGGTGGGTTTTCTTCTTCTCTTTATCTCTCTTTGTATATATGTACATCTGTGTGTATGGGAAGTGTATTAGGTGACAACTTAAAAATATAAGGAGTTAATCTTAAGATTCATTCATACATGTATAACCAATATTTTATAAATTGAAATATAATTGTCTTTTAACTCATAACTAAATTTGAATGCTCTAAAGCGGTTGTTCTTATGCATAACAGAATTTTATAAATGCATGCTTGATGCAGCAAAAGACACATGTTATGCTATATGCATGATAGATATAACTAAACCAGACTTTAGATTTCGTTTTGTATAAAAGATTTACATCATCTGCATATTTAATGAACGGGTGCTTCTTATTAATTAAGAAGTGAAAATTCAAAAAAGAGTAACCTCATTAATAAAATTTGGTATTCATATTATACCATCCATGACTTTGCAACCAGTTTATTTGTTTTCATTGGAAGAGGGAAGTGAGAGAGAGCAAGCACTGGATAGACATTAGTTTCCTTGAGCCAATACCAAGTCAGAAGGTTGATGAACTGTTAATCTGTTTCATATGAATCTAATAAATATCATAAAATAGGAGCCAATGTGGAAGGAATCTTGCGACAAGCAGCTGATGTTGATGAGGTTGAACGTCGAGTTCGGGAATATGAACAAGGTTTTTGCCTTTTCTTCATAGCTAATCTGCCTTTACTTGTTGGTCCTTGTTTTCATTTTGTTTATACAATGTGGTGAAGATAATTCTGACATGTCTATCCATTAAGAGCTTCAATTATATTTCAGGCTTTGTCATAAAAGTACTTTAAATAATATGTGGAGTGTTGTTTATCAAATATGTCAACTAACAGAATACATCATTTATTTGAATTTCGGATTTAGTGGAATTTCCTTAAATATTTGCCTCAGCATTTAATATGGGTGAAATATAAGAGCTTTTGCAGTTTTCCATTAGCAGGGACTTTTTTCCTTTCCCCCTTTCTTGCTCAAAATCACTCATCAGATCTTATGCTCTTGGGTACGCCATATGGTTGCAGGAAAAGTTGAGTTTTCACCAGATGAGGATGCACATGTTATCGGAGACTGTGTTAAGGTATTTTCATGGTAATCCAAACTGATGATTCCTTGCTAGTAAGTAATACATTATTATTATTATTTTTAATTTCTATAAATTTTCAGCATGTACTTCGCGAATTGCCATCTTCTCCAGTCCCTGCATCTTGTTGTAAGGCACTGTTGGAAGCTTGTCGTAAGTGTTATCTTGTTCATCCATCTTTGTCTTTTTTAAGTTTATGTCAAATGAAAAGTTTTTTCCATTGAAATTTAGAATGTACGAGCTGGCACATGAAAATTTATAATTCTAATGTAAAATTTTACACTTTTGAACAATTTGTTCAAAAGGAGGAAAAATGTCTTGTTTAATTTTATTTAGAAAATGTCATACTAATTTTATTTCAATTTATAGAGATGTCATGATGAAGTTTAATAATATTTCATTATTTGAAAATGTCACCAAATTAGGAACTGAGCGTGGTAATAGAGTTGCTGTTATGCGTGCAGCAATAAATGACACTTTCCCTGAACCAAATCGCCGCTTATTGCAAAGGTATTTGACTGGTACTTTTATATTTTATCATTTATTTTCTTTTTATACATAACCCATTTATTGTTTTTTTTTTGTTATCTTATTTACTTTATTTCAGAATTTATATATAAATACTCTTATTACTTAGTTATTAATTTAATCACCGAATTATCATTGATTTGGTATACTTTTGTTGTGAATTAAAAACCTATTTATCTTGGCCTATACACACAATATGGCCATATACTTAAGATCTACTTATTGATAGGCTCTGTTGAATTCATTGTTTATGACAGAGTCTATTAAACAAAAAAGACATTTCTATATTCAATTTTTATTTTGCACCATATATTTCTTTTTTTCATATCATGTTTTGATTATGTAAGTTATTGATTTCATTCTTGTACAGAATACTCATGATGATGCAAATTGTGGCTTCACGCAAAGCTGTGAATAGAATGAGCTCCTCAGCTGTGGCAGCTTGCATGGCACCTTTACTTCTTCGCCCCCTTCTGGCTGGAGAATGTGAAATTGAAAATGATTTTGATGTAGGCGGTGATGGTTCTCTTCAACTTTTACAAGCTGCTGCTGCGGCAAACCATGCTCAAGCAATTTGTATAACCTTATTAGAAGAATACGGCAGCATATTTGGGGTAATTATGTCTTTTTCTTTTTTTCATGCCTTTCATATACAAATTATGAAACCATGTCACTTTCATATGTTAGACTCTTGAATCATTCTTAAGGTTAGTCGTCTTATGCTGAATCATATTTGTCTCTGGTACAATATTTTTTTCTTCTTACTTTGAAATAGTGCATTACTTACAAATTGTTTGAATCCCTTTTCATTAGAGAATACATAATCAGCTGAATATGAAATATTTTTGCAAATATTTGAATGGATGATTCTCAATTTCAAACCACCTTCAAGCAGTAAGGTCAATCTTTTGATGAATTAGCCATTCCTTATATCAGTTTAGGATAATGGTTAACCAAGTAGCTGACTCCAGCTAATAGGTTAAGGCTTTGTTGTTATTGTTATTTATTATTTTCTCTTCAAATTATTAAGTTATTAGTGCTCTAGCAGGAAGGTTCTGTGTCCCCTGACATATACACTGACTCAGACGAAGAGAGTGGATCTGAGAACGAGGAAGCAACTGATGATGATGATTTGTCGTATGATGATGACGAAGAATATGATGATGATGATGACGACGAAGAAGAAGAACATGATGAATCGATACATGAGTCCGATGAAGATGAAGAACTTGGTAGTGAATCGTACAGCGGAACTGGAGATTCAGAGGCCGATGATGCATACGATGATGATGATGAGGTTCAAATCTGACTTTATTTATTTCACGATAATTTGTAGTGGTTCTAATATATAGTTTTTATTTAATCCATTTCATTCTAAGGACTAAATCTTATGTAGGTAAATTAGTAAATTATAAAATTCTTTTAAAAAGTCTATGTTAATTGTCCCAAGGATAGAACATGCATTTATGCCAAAATTCTTTTAAGGCTTTTATTTGGCACTATTTCATTCAAGCAAATCTATGGTTAGACAAGAACTGACATGGTTATCATTAATTATTCAAACACATGGCATAAATGCAAAAAAAAAAAAAAAACTAGTAGTATTAGTACCAAATTTCTCACTCACTAGAAGAAAGAAATATGTGTTTTGGACTAAACAATAAAAATAGTAGAGTATTTGCCTTAGATCTTTCCTTATTTCTTCTTTTAATGTTCACTTCCTATCTTCAACTTGGCCCTTACCCTAGCTCTAAAACTACTCCAATAACTTTGATTATTATTTAAACTTATTTATTCTTTTAATGTTCACTTCCTATCTTCAACTTGGCCCTTACCCTAGCTCTAAAACTACTCCAATAACTTTGATTATTATTTAAACTGATTATATAATGTTGATATGTTCATTGAGCATCCTTACACTTTTTCCTCCAAAACTGTTACATATGTGGCTGCAATCACTGCAACCTGGATGTGGAGAACCAGGAGGTGAGAGGAATGGCAAAAATTCTTATTATATTGTTTTTGGTAATGAACAGGACCATGACCATGCTAGTTTAAGTTCGAAATCCTCAGGTGTGAGTCAAAAAGCTAAAGCCACACGAAAGTTATCATCATCAAAGTCACTTGAAGCCCCACGGACCAAAAGCTCTGAACCTCTCACGAGTCCAAAGAAAACTGGCTACGGTGATCAGTCCAATAAGCCTGCTAATATGTCTCGGGAAGTAACTGACGAAGCTACATTGCATAATTTAAATTCTCCTATCCCTGCTCCAAGTATAAAAAAATCCAGTACCATATCCAATGGGCCAGCACCTCGGCATCGCACCACATTGGGGCGTACCTCAGTAAGTAGATCTTTAAACATTACTGATATTATTTTTTATGTGACCAATTATGTCTTTCTCACCGGCCTTAAGTTGGTTAAAACTTTCTCCATTAATGTTAAATTTTAGTTTCATTTAGTTGCTTTTCTTTGAGTTAAATTGCCTTCGTACTAGTAAATTTGTGGTTTTCTCTGATTTGCATTCTGTCCAGGCAAGGAAGAATCTTTCCATGGAATCCATTGATCTTCCTGTTGAAGATGAGTAAGTAATTGGCACCTAACAATTGTATGCAATTATCTTGCTCTTTATGCATCTCTCAATTATGTAATTAAAGGATCAAACAGTCGTGCATAAATGCTTGAATTTATGTTAACAAGAATATAGTATTATATCCATATTTACCTGGAATTTCAGAAATGCAAAGATCAAAATCCAATAGTTTGTTTTCTTTGTTACGTTAAGGACCAAGGAAAATTAAGTAGGCAAGAAAAAATCCTTCTTTTGGCTTCACTGTCTTTCCAACATCGGCATCCGAATCTGTTTGAGTGACCTCGTCCGTAACTTGTGGAAGTTTATAGCCACTTAAATATAAATTCAGAGAAAGCTCTTGGTGGTTGTAAATGTTTAAAATACCTTGTTGAGAACGCTTGATTTAATGAGGAACAGAGAGTGTGCATGTCTGTTGCTAGTTTCTTCATGTTACTCTGTTCACTAATTTATGTTTTTAACAATAGAGATGAAATTGAAAGGCTCGAAGCTGCCAGGGCAGAATTACAAACTCAAATTGCAGATGAGGTATGTTCTTGATTTCCTTTCTGGATTTACATTGTTTAAATATCTATCTAATTTTTCAAGTCATTTTGATGAGTTTGGGTTGCCCTTGTAGGTGAGGGCAAATGCCAAGCTGCAATCTCAAGTGGAGAATCAAAAGAGAGCCTTGGACGAGCGTCGTCTGGCTCTTGAGCAAAATGTAAGTTCATTATGAGAGAAGTTACCCTCTTCCTCCATGTAAATAAATTTGGTTTTCTAAATTTTCTTTTCACAGATTGCTAGACTACAGGAACTGCTGCACAAGGAAAAGAATTGTCGGGCAGCTCTTGAGGTAGGACTCTTGTTTATGATTTATCCAACATTGGTGAAAAGTCTTGTCAAATTCAGTTAAAGACGGTTTGTGTTTTGATCATGCAACTCTTTCATAACATCTGAATCTTATACAGAACAAAACAGAGCTTGAGGAATTAGCTCTGGTAGAAGCAGATCTTGCCTATTTAGAACGGAAGGTTGAGGAACTTGGGAAGAGGCTTAATTCTCAAATTGATCGAAATCTTGTAACTCCGGATTTCTCTAGTCAACCACGACAGATGTCAAATCAGGAAAGAAGATTGTATGTTTATCATTTACTTATGTCTGATATTGCTTTTTTTCTTCTTCTTTTACAATCTCGAACACCTAATAGTTTCAATGTTCATAGAATTTCTTTTGTTCGCAATATTTCCTCCCACGTCTCTGTAAAAGTCATCTTAGCACTTGACTGTTCTATTTGCTTTTATGCTTCTTGTTTCCACTTGAATTTCTTTTTTTTTTCCCAACGAAACTGTATGGGTAATTAAAGTTTACTTGTATTAACAGAAAATACAAGGCAGATACTGAAGTTGCTGCCACATCACAATCTGATAGATCGATAAGTAAGGTAAATCTACAATATCGATAGAGGATTCATTCCAACCACATGCAGAAATGTCAATAGCCATATTGCAGGAAGAGACCATAAACCCATCATTAAGCATATGATTGTGATACTTTTAAAACTAAGAATAATCTCAATAATATAATAAAGAAGGCTCGTGTCATTTCTTGTTTTCTCTTTTTATACTGACATAAGAAACCAATACCCCAAACATGCTTTATCTGGTCACTTATTAGAACTCCATAGAACTTTGTTTTCTTTCTCCCGAATATATTTCTGGTGTTCATACTTGCTTGATAGACAACAAATTGCATGTTTCCTTAAGTTGTTACCTCGCAACCTTTTCTCGTTAAAAAGCCAAAGGTGGTCTTTCATTTATTTCTCGTGTGGCTTTATACTATACTAGAAAATAAGCATATTTGCTAAAAATGATGATAGTAATTTGCAATTTATCATTTCTTAAACTAAGGGTACGGTAACGGCCCAACAGGACAGTCATATTGTTGGAGTAGAAAGTGATGGTGAGAGAAAGGCAGAGTCAACACCTTTACCAAACAAACATCCACCAACTAGCTCCAAGAGGTCTGCTTTAAAGGGCGAGGTATGTTTCATAAACTTGGCTACGAATCTTTATATATAAACCAACATTTTCTTTATTGTGTAATCATAACTACAACCAAATACCCCTCATCCATCCAAAAGTCAATAGAATGACTAGTATATCGAGTTTCAGACTCTTATTATATCAAATTAATTTCATTAAATAACATTTTTAGTAAAAAAAATGTAATAAAATTATCCATGATATTTCCTATGCCCGCATCATTGTCACTTACATAATATTGCTTAGTACTGAGATGAAGAAATTAAATTAGTTATCTAATGCAAGGTAAAATTTGAGTTTTTATGGAAGATAGTTACCTACCTGTTAGCCGCGTAACTAAGTAGTTTCTCGTGTACAACACTGGGATAAACCTTGATATTGCAAATTGATAGGACTAGTAGTCTAGATAGACTTATTTATTCAAATGCTTTCACAACAGGGAGCAAATTCCACTCCTTCTGCACTCACAAAACTGACAACCAGACTGAACTTTTTGAAGGTGGCCCGTAACCAGATTGCAAGTGAACTCCAAAACATGGAAAAAGGGCGAGACTCAAGTCGCTCATCACACAATGTGGAAAAAGGAAAAGGATCTGAACGTCATCAATCACTCGCATCCCCCCACAAATTTGGAGGGTCAGAGGCTCAGTCTGTGCCAAACCCAGAGAAGGGTAAAGGGACAGAATCATCAGACAAAGGATCGACCAAAGGAAAATCATCTCAGCCGAGTTCATCCGAGAAACTGAAAAAATCAGATAGTCATCCAGCCCACCACACCGATGGATGGAATCAACAACCAAAACACTTGGAAAGAGGAAAGTCAGAAGGCCATCAGACTTATAATGTGGACAAAGGCCGGTGATTAAGGTCAACCAGTCTTCTTTTTGTTCCAAAACAAGATCCACATGCAGTCAGTGTTTTTGTTGTCCATGTTGGGATTTGCTTATGTTTTTCAACAATGTTTTGTGTCATTTATAGAATACAGAGAGGAACCCTCTTTTGATAAGGTTGCCACAAGAGCCCCTTTTCAAACAAGAGAAGCATTCAATTTTCCCCCAAAAGCACCATGTGCAAGGCATAGTTAAACCTTTACCATGATATAAGCCAAACTGTTTGTAACCTAGCATGCTGATTTATACTAGCTCAGTTAGCAGCATGATAATTTGCATTTACAGTATCGTATTTGTAACTGCAATAACGTTTGAGTTGTTTGGCATAAGCTGGTAAAGCATTAGGCAGATAACCTTAGTCCAAATTCCTTTGTACTAGCAAATTTTGAATTCAAAACCTCATTATTATAATCTACATATAATCGGATTCAAGGAATCTCTTGATTTGAATAGAACTCAAAGCTTTATCCATGACTATACTTACTAAAAAGAAAGAAAAAAAACATTTCTTTGTTGGGACTTGCCCAATTTGTTGAATTGCAACCTATTGAGTAATTTGTAGTGTGTATATATACAAGATGATTATATGAAAAATGTAGACAAACTCTCTTCGATGAATTCAAATTATGGATTTTTATATTATATTTGATAATTTGTTATTATAATTTTTTCAAAAAAAATTATCCAATAAAAAAGATGATGTTACACAGAATGTGTCAAGTATTTCTAGCATTCCTGCACCCAATATATATGTACTTAACACAAATATGGGTGATGTAATTGTTGATACATATTTGATGAAATTGGAATATGAAAATATATATCTCAAGAAGGTAGTGTCCAAGTTCCAAAACCTCAATAACTAATCCCTAATAAAAAAGAATCAAAAGGTTACAAATGGTTCGTCATCATCTGAACGTATATATCTCAACCAATGAATGAATATAAAAGTTCAAAACTCCTTGAGCAGCTTCCTGACTTGTTCGAGGGTGACAAAGAGCACGACGGTAAAAGGACCCTGCCTTGAGATTGTAGGGATGAAGCCCTTATAAAGGGCAAGAGGCCCTTCAGTCTTAACAGTCTTGAGAGCACAATCGAAGGCCCCATTGAAAGCTTCAACCTTCATGTTCATCACCCTAGTCTTTATAACATCAATAGGGTTCGACGCAACAGAAGCCACAAAACCCGCCGCAAAACTCGCTGCCACGTGGGTCCCAAGTCCATCCTCCATCCACCCGTGTCCGAGGATAGTTTCCTTAAACTGGTCGTACGAGGCCAACTGAGAAGCCGTCACGATCATCGCTCGGTTCACCGTAAGCGCTGACCCGCGCCACAGGCTAGCAACCCCCTCCTGCTTGCTCATGCGCCGTATCGCGTCGAACACGCCCTTGTAGTTGCGCCGCTCCGCCGCCGGAGCCCGCCCGTCGGCCTGCATTCGCACCATGGCCACGTCGGCGGGGTTCCCCACGCCGGCGCCAATCCCGCCGGCAACTAGCCCCGCCGTTATCTTTCTCGAGAGGGGCATGGTGCCCTGCTCGGGGTCAGTCCAGTGGCGCTTGAGCACGTCGTAGAGGCCCATACGGGTGGTGGAGTAGAGCGTCTGACGGAGCACAGTCGCGGAGACGCCGGAGAAGAGAGCGGCGACGCCCTCGGACTGGACGATGCGGATGCCGACGGAGATGGGGCCGGAGGGAGGCGGTGGCGGCATTGGAGTGGGCGTGTGAAGTGCAAATGCGGGACGGAGGCTGTGCGTTTCTTGAAGCTGCATGCGGACTTTGATGAGGTCGAGTGGATGGGTGGTGCAACCTGCAACGATGGAAGCAACGCCACCTTCGAAAAAGCCTTTGAGAGTCATCTTCAGATGGACACTAAGTAGCGCTGCAGTGTATATAAAGTGTATGATTGAAAGTCGCAGAGAAGAAGAGAGAGAAGTGTTTTTGGTTTCGGTGTGGAGTTAAGGGTTTGGAGATTATTGATTATATAGTAATTGGGTTTGGAGATGATTAAATAGTGCGCGTCAGAGAGTCAAAGACGGAGACTAGGAAAAATAATGCCGGCACAGTTGGACCAAATCAATCTCAAATAATTCAAATAAAATAAATTAAAAATTTAATGGACAAAAATATTAGAAAGTATATTCAATAGACTTCAAAAAACAATTTTACAAAAAAAAATTATAAAATTTGCAAGAGTGTAATTTAAAAAAAATTATGATTAGGATTTTGTAATTTGAATTTTAAATAATTAATAAAATATGGAATGATAAATTTTGATACAAATGTATACATTTACAAGAATTTAAATTATATATTTAAAAATATTTTGCATGTTTAATTCTTATGATAAAATGTAGCTTTGTTTATTATTTTATTTTGTAAATTTATATAAAATAAAAATGCATTTTAACTGTAGCACGTCATGCTAATAAAAGTAAATCATTAACTCCTTCATTTTGGGAGCAACTTATTAATATAATCAATAATATTATAATGTCAAATTAACATAAATAAATTAAAAAACAATAGAAAAATTATAAATTAAATAAGATAAAATAAATTCAAATACAACAAAAGAATAAACATATATTTAAAGAGATTACTCGGTAACTCTGTGTTCTTTATTTAAATTAATAAAACTTTTGTAAACACTTTCCCAATAATTTATGAAAATGAGTTTTAACATCTCACCATATCTTCATTTTAGTTTCCTTTGACCAAAAGATATACATAAAGAATCAAGATTGTCTTATACAATGTGGTGTTTATAACAATCTATCATTTATGTAATAGTATTTATAATATTAAAAATATACATGTAATGTATAATTTTCACTTTATAATTATATATATATATATATATATATATATATATAACATTATCAATTTATAATAATAAGAACATCCTAATAAATTGTAACACTATTTTTTCTAAAAATTCTTCTTGTTTTTTCTTTCTTAGATTTTGTAATTATTATATTTTCAAACCATAAATGATTTTATAATACATTACTAAATTATGATAATGGCAGGGTTATGATTAAAATAATGTTTACAAATCCAATAATTCATAGAACAACATATTGTATAAAAGTTAAATAAATAACTGTTTTTATTAGAAGAACAATCATATATATATATATATATGTGTGTGTGTGTGAGATAGAAAAAATAGTTTATTATCCTCACAAATAATATTGAGATTGTTTTATGAGAATGATATTTATATACATAGATGAAGAGTTACATGAAATAAAAAACAAATCTATTCAAAAAAAGAATCCATTAAAAATTGTATGATTTTGAATATTAAAATACTTTTTTAATTTAAAAAACCTTATTGAATACCAATAAATTGTATTATCCTAAAAACGTTGAATTTTATGTGATTTTAAATGTCATGTTATTAAAAGTCTCAATTATACACAAACAAAATTTGTTATTTTAAGAAAAATGGTAACATTGATTAATCTTTAAAAAAAATTATAGTATTAAGTGAAAAATATATGAATTAAGATGTATAAATACATTTAACTTTTATATAGTATATATTTAGAAATTATGTTATTTGTCATATGTGATATATTGATATTTATAGTTTTTTTTAATCATATTGTCATATATTTATATCTTTTTTAAAATGTAAGAATAAAAATTGAAAATAAATATAATTCAAACTTTTCAATGTGTGGATACTCCTACTTATACGTAATCATTTTTTTTAATTATGTTTTTAACAAGTATTATATTATATGAATATATTATATTTTATTACAATATATTATATCATATTATATAATAGAGAGGATATGATAAATTAATACTAATATAACTTATATTAATTAGTATACGATAAAAACTTTATACAAAATGTAATAGTTGAATTATAAGTACATATATTATCTTGGTCAAGTGTGTTAAATTTTATAAAAAAAATATTAATTAAACAATATATAAAATATTAATTAAAAAGTATACATATTAGTTTTTTTTAACGTATATATTTATGACATCAAATAATTTTGCATTAATATAAATTTTTGTAAATATAAATTATGTGAGAATACATATTGCTGTTTAAAGTTTCTGAAGGGTGCAATAGTTAATATAAATCATAAAGAAAGCTAGAAAGAAAAAAATATTAAATAAATGAAGAATACATAGAATAAGCATCTCCATGATGAATGGTTAAGAATAAAATTAAATATTTTATTATAGTTTCACAATATATTAAACATTTTATTATAGATCATAATTAAATTATTTATAGTAAAAAATATTTTTTTAATTTTAAATAATTTTTGTCATTTTTTAAACCACTCAAATATGTATTTATAATAAAATTTTCACTCGTAAGCAACTCTTGCACTTCCGATAGGAGATGCTCTAATTTGATCTTACTTCTTCGTCTAAACCTAAAACCACGTGGCGGATCTTACATGCATAATCATGCATGGTGTTTGGACATGCAAGGCAACGTAAAAAAAGCAGAATTATCTGGAGAGAAACCTAAATAGCAGACGCTGTAACTCAATTGTCGTTGTGCCAACCGTTTTGTTCCATCTAAAGAAATGTAGGCCATTTCCCCTCCCATATAAACATCCAAATTTGCAATCAAATACTCACCACCTTCATTGCCGAAAAGCTCTGAGATTAATATACAATCCCTCTCCTCTGCCTCTCTCCATGCATTGATGATGGAGTTCATCGATCCAGCGATATTTTGCCACTAAAATTGGTAGCTACCAATTAATATATTTTGGTGATCGACAATAAACCACATAGATCTGGGTCACAATTTAAGAAAATGGAGTTGCAGAGGATGAGGGAATTATTGACACTTTGGTCAACCTTGAAAACTGGCCATGTTGTCCTTGTCGGTGGAAACCACACCGCCGCCAGATTCTGCACTCGCTAATACACCTTCTGTCTCTCCCCCTCTCTTTCCCAGTCTTTTTCAATTTCAATCCAAACACAAACACACTAGTAACTCATTAGTCAATCTCTCACCAAATGACCCTTTAATCTTTCTATACATTATTTACCTTCTTCCTTCTCTAATAACATCATGAATTTCACACGTTATGGTTTGCCACTTTTGGCATTCTTCACACTGACTTCCTTCTTACTCATAATGAGATCAACCTTGCTGGAAAAAATCTCCACCATTCCTGATTCCGTTAACGGACTCAACTACGCCTCCTTCAACACTGACGAGGTTCTGTCACTAATATTTCGCGAGTTTACCCACCGAGGGCTCGTGAAGAAAACACAACAGAAAGCAGTTAACGAGGCGGAGTCCCCTGCTCCGGTTGCGCCGAGAAAGATGTGCAGCTACACGAGGGAGGCGAAGAAAGCGGCGTTGCAGCAACTGGAGGACGTGCTTCTTGAGCCACCAAGAGCGGCTTCTGGGAAGTCGCGCAAGTACTTGAAGCGCACGCGGTTCTTGCCGGATTTGATGGGTGACTCTTTGGAGAGCTACCCCCGGCACGTTTTCATCGAGGTGGAGTTGTCGGAGAAAGAGGGAGGAAGTGGAAAGAAGTGGTTTACGGAGACCTACCCGACGAGGAACAAGCAGTTCGAGATGTACGATGTGAAGACGGTGATGGCGGAAGAAATGCAGCAGAATGAGGAGATAGGGATGTCGGATTGGCTGAGGAAGAATGTGAAGGAGGAAGAGTTTGTGGTGATGAAAGCTGAGGCTGAAGTGGTGGAGGATATGATGAGGAGTGATTCCATTGGACTGGTGGACGAGCTTTTCTTGGAATGCAAGCCCAAGCGGGGAGGCAAAAAAGAGGACTCATCTCGAAGAGCCTATTGGGAATGCTTGGCTTTGTATGGAAAGTTAAGGGATGAAGGTGTGGCAGTGCACCAATGGTGGGGTTAGGGTACAACCAATTCAACACAAAAAAAAACTCTTCAATCATATATACATATCTATATATTAAAAAGAAAAAACTTTCATTGGCCACTTCCTTCTTTCGTGTCACTGTTAAAAGATCAAATAATGTGTAGCTGTTCTTTTAATAATTTCTATTATTAATTAATATAACACTCTTTATCATTTATATTAATCAGTTTTTATAATTCTTTCTGCTTTTTACTTACTTTCTGTTGTACAAGATCATTCTTTAATTTGCCGGTTGTAAAAATTGAAGATTCAAAGCTAGGATCTCTCATGCTATGCTCAATCATGGTTGGTTTTGCAAATTTTTAAGGGTGTGTTGCCAAAAGTTATTCTTTCTCAATATAATACATCTAATGATAAGTTATTAGCCAAAAAATTAGAGGAAAGATTGCGTAGATCTGGAATTTTTACGAGTAAAAAACTATTTATACACTGAACTTTTGGTTATGATATATATATTAACAACGCTTTTTTCAAACATCCATCCAACAATTTATTTTTAGATTTTTATATTATTATTTATCTATATTACTTCATTTTCTCTCCATCAATAGAAAAAAAAATTTAAGATTGTTTATGGGATGTTTAGAAAAATTGGTGTCCAAAAATCTTTTCCCTCATAGTTATAAGATTATTTTCTGGCTCTCTTTCAGCTTATACTTTTTACCAAAAATGTATTACATAAATACTATTTCTCAATGATAATAGCTAATAATTACTCGATGATACTCCTCATACATTGCAACAATAACTCGTTACTCATACTGATTTTTGTTTTGTAATGAAATACTGTGTTTATTTGGCGTCATCTTCGCAGTTGCGTGGTGTGTTCAGTATACAAATAAAAACAAGGTGTGAACTGTTTTCACGGTAACGCTTGATTTCCGTGCATAAACTAAACAAAAAGATTCGAAAAGACAGGGGTGACCACTTATCACGGGCTGGCAGTAAATCGTCCCATGTTACCAAACAAAACAAGATCCTTACATATGAATTTCATCAAACATGATTAGAGTGATGAATTGGTCCCTCTTTGGGACAACGAATCAAGGATCAATCGAAGATAATATAGTAGTTACTCCTATTTCACGTTGAATATGTTCCAAAGGCACACAAGGCAAGCTTATTCACCGTGGCCACACCCACACCATCACCTTTTTGAACACGACGAAAGATCCAAAACTAGGTAGCTAAACAAGAAAACCACTAGTACAATAAAACAAACAAAAAAATGCATCCAGCTAACTAGTTACAAACCTCACGGGCTATGCCAACCTTATTATTCACGGTATCAAACAAAATCCGAAGATTCTGTTGCTGGAAGTTGGCAATGACGTTCAACACCGAGTTCACATTATCCGGCGCCGCCGCCATCGCAAGACAAGCCAGTGACCCGGCACTGCTATGAATCAAGCTGTTCTCCAATGGCAGCTTCAGGTCCAATCCCTCGAAGTGAAGAGTAATTAGCGGTGCCAGTGTTTCGTACGTCTTCACAAAACACGTGTCGAATGCCCCAATGCTCGAGAACGTGCCTCCCACCTGCTTCCTGAACTCCTCCCTCACCGCGTTGTACACGGGCTCCACGAACCGGGTTATCACCGTGCCCGAATCAATTATGGTTCCGGATCCGTTATTCGGGTTAAACTCGAGATACTCGCTGGGGAAAGGCACGAGGACGCGCCCCACGCTGATTCCGGTGAAGTTTACGTAGTAGAGAGAAGGCCGGTGGGGGTTACGCAGAAGCGGGGTGGTCCGGATGCTCTTGGGCTGGCCCACGGGCCCGAGTTTGAGCGACCCGGAGAAGTAGTACGATTTGAAGCTGGGGAGGCAGTAAGAGAATACACCGGAGTAGTTTGTCCCGGACTGGGAGAGAAGCGACAATGGGCCGCGGCCCAGTCCCAAAAGCCCTTGGGCCGGCACTGAGGCCCCGGAGATGGCGTTGACGCAGCCGAAGGAGTAGTTGGGGATAACATCAGTGGCTAACCTGAGGGAGTCTTGGACAAGCGTGGCGGAGAAAGAGGAGCCGGCGTAGGATTGGTTGAAGGAGCATGCGCCGGTTCCCGTGGCGGGGCAGGAAAGGCCACGGACCTGACCGCACTGGGGGACGGAGCAGTCCAATGGGCCGTAGCTGGTGGAGGCTTTGGGGGAGAAGGTGGTGTCGGAACAACCCGTGCAGCCTGAGCATGGGACGAAGGCCTCGTCGGTGCTGGTGTCCAAAACCATGAACAAAAGTTGACCGGGGGTTCCAAGTTTAACCCTGACCACGTAGTTACCGATGTTGAAGGCCTGGCCCGAAGCGATAGGGGCCGAGGAGACGGTCTTCTGGGGCAACAAGGTGGACAAGTACTTGACCCGGAGTGGGTCTTTTGAGGCCATGGTTACAATTCTGTTGTCCCACGAGTCTGCCTTGGGTGGCTTGAACGGTGAGCATTTGCTGTAAATGGGAATGACGTTTAGGTCCGACTCATCCGGTTGAGAGGCACAAGGGTCAATGGCATTGCCCCTCATCAACCAAACTACAGACACAAGTAAGACAATGCCCAACTTAGCCTCCATTGTTGGTCACTGTGATTGTGGGTAGAGATATAACCGAAGGATGAAGGTAGCTATTGTAATGGTTGGTGCATGCTTGGCGTGGCGTGAGGCCATTAATATAGCCGCGGGAGCAAGAGGTAGTTGTAAATTTACATAAACATCCTAGGGTGGGAATTGGAATTTGAATTATTGAGGTGTTTTATTTCACTGTTCTATTACACACCTCTTTAAAATTGAATTATTATCACGTTTTTTTTCTTAACTTGAGAAATAAAACACAGTTTGTAGAGGGTGCATTAAATACAAAATAATCAAAAAGGTGTTTGATGATTGGTGTGAAGGAAGGGGACAAAGTTGTGGTTCAGGCATATTTGGAGTTGAGTGCAACGATGATCTAAATGTTACAGAACACAGAGTGTTGAAATTATTGAACCTTTTTAGTGATTTACGATTGAGAAGTGAAGGGATAACAAATTTGCTTTACCAGTACTGCGATCTTAAAGCAAGGAGCGAAGAAAGGATAAGAATCATGGAGCTAGAAAGAAAGTGCCCGTGATCAGAATAATTGGCTGCGATTAGAAATTGACAGTGCTATATATTTTGTCCGTACATGGATATTGCACGAGATGCGGTCGGTCACGGGCACTCCAAGACTTTTTTGCTCATATCTCATGCATGCAAGGGTCCCTCGTTTCCACTTTTGCATTAACAAAAATCTACTTCAAAATATTAATTCATTAATCACACCTCTATCTTCAATAAACAACTAAACCTTTTTCTTCTAACAAATTAAAATATAAATGAAGTTGCTCTACACTTTTACCTCTAATTCGTCTTCTTTCGTTTCCTATACTATAAAATGTTCCTTTTTAATGTTTCATAATTTAATATTCTAATCTATTTTGATATATTGGGCACTTTCTTTGCAGTCCCTGTCCATGTACTCTATTGGGCTTGTTATTTTTAGCCCATTCATGTCTCTGAATTGATCTTTACCACATAATCAATTACTTTTAGATTAAGTAATCAATTACCTCACATGTAAATGATTACTTCATTAATCATCGTAAATTTTACATTTCTTACACTTATATGCATATCTTTAAAAGTTTAATACACTAAACATGTATAACTTTATTTTAATTCAATATAATTTTGACCAACTAAATTGGTAAAAAGGTTAGGCCAGACAATTGAATTCACAACCAAAAACAATTTTTGGTAGAACAACCAGATTTATCAACTTAGTCCAATTAATGTGTTTATTAAACATCTTATTTTTTACTAACTAAATTATAGAATATTTTATACTTTTGATAAATAATTTTATCATCATATTTTACTTGTTAAATATATTCATGAGACCATGATTACCATCAACATGTGTGAATAAAACAAAGCTAATGACTCAGTGATCATGAAAATAAAGTGTCAAAGGTTTAAATTATCTCCAACACATTTATCATTTCTTAAATGTTTGACTGCACTTGTCTATAAAAAAGAAAAAACTTGTTTGATTGCATTTTACTAAGAACAAAATACTGAATTGTGGAACCTTTTTTAAGTGCAAAAATTATTAATAAAAAAAAAACACATAAAATTCTTTATATTGAATAGAACGAACAAAATAGATTCGCCATCTTTCATAAATAATATTTGTTTTCAATTAATTTTTATTTCTTACATTTAAATTCAAGATCTGATTTGAAAAATCTGAATTCAATTTACTCCAAAACAATCACAATTAGTGGCCCAGAAAATTTACAAGTTTAATTATTTTTGTGTCTAATTGCGCAATTAATTACGATTTTTCTGTCAGGTTCTCGTTTGTCTGGGAACCTAAAAGTTGGAAAGGCATGCATGATGACTCTATAATGATACATGTTTGGTATTATAAAGTATATTAGACGCAACATATTTTCAAAACCAAACCCTTCCATAACTATCATGATTGAAAAACCTCTGCATCACTTATATAGATTTTAAATTTTTTTATCAATGAATGCCTTAGTGACACGATTTAAAAAATTATTAATAAAAATCTAAATTAAATTTACGTTCAAGAAGCATATATAGAAATAATAATAATAATAATAATAATAATAATAATAATAGTTTTGTTTCTATAATATAATATGACAATTAAAACCGTCACGTGGGGGGACCGACACGTTCCCATTTCGAGTTTGGCGGAAGAAACTTGAGTTGACTGGGGTGTAAGCGGGTTGGAGTTTTCCCCATTTTTAAAAGTCGGGAGATGGGTAATGCAATCTCCACCTCGACCATGTACTCGTCCCAACTTTATATTTAAATTTAAATTTTAAAATATTAATATTTTAAAAATATTTATTTTTCTTTTTCTATTACATATAAGGTCATTTTTTATATTTCACCAATTTTTTTTCTACCCACTTTTTAATTTTTTTTGTCTTTTTTAATCTTTTATATCAATTAATTTATTACATTATTCTTTCTCTTACCTTCCAATTTTTTCACATTTCCTTAATCTCTCCCATCAATTTGTTTTTTTTTCAATCTTTTCAACCAATTTGATGAACACAAAGTTAATTTTTTTATTCTTTATTTTTTTTAAATATTTTACATAAATTTTAGTAGTAACTAATATTATTTTATTTATAATTTATATTTATTAAGTTTTATTATGTCATATTTTTTATCTTGTTATTCTTATTTATCATATATCAAATTTTATCTTAATAAAATAATTGTATTTTAAAGGATTAAAGGAATTGATAATTTAAATTTTTATTACTTCGAACTAATTGAATAAGAATTAACTTATTAAATATTTCCTTATAAACTATATATTTCATATTTTTAAATGATAACTTGAAAAATGAATTAACTTATATATATAATCAAATATTTGAATACAGTATTATACTAATAATGTTATAAATATTCAAATATTTAAATACAGATGTTATAATAATAATATTATAAATAAAAAATGATTAAATGTTTTTTTTACATACATGTTTTAATATAGATATAATAAATTAAAATGTATATTTAATTAATAATAATTATAAATTATAAATATTTATTTATATATAAAAAATAGATAGTAAAATTAATTTAATATAAATATAATTTTTTTTTAAATAATATAGATCGGGGACGGAGCGGGAAACCCAAAACCCGACGAGGATCGGGGATGGAGTCTTAATTTCTAACCCCGACGAAAATTGAGAATAGGGACAGAAATGGTTAAAAAGTCGGAGGACGGAGAGACAAAACTCGCGTCCGCCCCATTGCCATGCCTACTACCATCCATGGTTATTGTCATGTATTGCTTGTTGGTTTTAATTTTTTTATGTATATAAATTAAAATTATGACATAGAAAAGTTCACTATAACATTAATTTCATTTATAGACTCTCTTAATGAACATTAAATTCAAAGTTATACAACTTCTTCATTTTTTTCTTGCAATAATTAGTATTCATGGCATTTCAAACTTGCAAAATAGGCAATTAAAAGTCAAAATATGTGACGAAAACATTAGACATTTCAATACATTACAAATATTCTATTTAAAATTAAAATACATTTTTGTAATCTCATCGGAATATATTTTTATTGAAAGGATTATCTTTTTGCAATTAAAACAAAAAAACTATTTAATATTTTTTTAGGTGTGTTTCTGGTGGAATTTTGATCGATTTCGATTCTAAGGGTATTTTGGTCTTTAATCGAAATCCTCCCACGTAAGCTCTTTTTACTTAGGCTAGCAATTTGATTTTCAATCGAAAACGTGTATGAGAATCGAAAATTACAGGATATCGAAAATGCTATTTTTGGTATTTTGTATTTTAAAGTATCGAAAACAGTAAAAGTATCGAATCAAGAAACAATGTTAAATTGCAAGAAAATGTAAAGAGCGAAAATCCAAATTTGCATCAATTGTAAATGACGAGGAATCGAAAATAGTGCAAATATAAATGACAAGAAATCGAGATTGCAAGAAAAGTAAGTGACAGAAATCGAGATTTGCGAACATTAAATAACATGGAAACTTAAATGCATAAACTTAAATTTTCATTGAATTGAAATGGACGAGGAATCAAAAATACGTAAACATAAAACTGCTGAATTTAAGTTGCATCAAAATAAATTACCAAGGAAAATACGTAAAGCGGTAAATGTACTCAGTGAGCAAGGAAATCCAGATTGCCGTAAGTTTCATGGTGTTCGTCGTTTTTCCGGTAGACTTTTCACTACTGATTCTGTTCTCTGCCAATTTCTGCTCTCTTGTTCCTTCCTCCTTTGCTCTATTTATAGGGCATCCTTCAAGCCTTCCGAGAGCAGTTAACGCGACTGCTACCACGTTCTACGTGCGTATGGTAGTTTATTTTCTATAGTTTCCCACGTTCTCACGATCTCCGACTTTTTCCCATGATTTCAAAATTGCTCTTTATACGTGCATTCGACTTACTTCCTTTCACGATTTGGCTAAAGTCTCGATGTCCACATTGACTTTCTTTACTCTTGATTCTGTATTTTTCGAGAACTTCGAATTGCTTACGATTCCTTTTTAACCCTGGTCTTATATGACTTAGTTTTTATTCGACAACAGTCATTTGATTATTATTCATTCGATTCTCGACTGTGCTTCTCGATGCTATATGCTACGTATTTCTAATTAGACATCGAATGAATTTTTGTTTATCTTATCGAGTCACATTTCTTTCCTTCGATTTCGATCGCTTTTCTCGATTTACCACTAACAAAATGCCTCCTTGGAAGAATATAAATGATTTCTGTTTTATATTCTTTCAATATTCCCGCCTTAGTGTTTGAAAGCCCACAGGATTTAGGGTTTAGGGTTTCTGGGGTTCTAGGGTTAAAAGGGGTTTTAGGTTTCTTTTCCACTTTACGTCGCCGTCTCGTCAGTCTGTTGCCTTTCAGTACAAGTTACATTAATTACCTTTCCCTTCCGTCGCTTCCAACTCCCTAGACGATTTCCCTTTAACCTTTCCTTGGTCTTTACTCTGGTC